GTGACTCACAGCTGTAATCCCAGCACTTTGGGAGGCCAAGGCAGGCGGATCACCTGATGTCAGGAGTTCGAGACCAGCCTGACTAACATGGTGAAACCTCGTCTCTACTAAAAATACAAACATTAGCTAGGCATAGTGGTGGATGCCTATAATCCCAGTTACTCAGGAGGCTGAGGCAGGAGAATCGCTTGAACCCGGGAAGCAGAGGTTGCAATGAGCTGAAATCATGCTATGCACTCCAGCCTGTGTGACAGAGCAAGACTCTGTTAAAAAAACAAACAAACAAACAAAAAGAGTTACACTAAATCTACTCTGCCTGTGCTCCATAAGTGGAACAACAAAGCCTGGATGACAGCACAACTGTTTACAGCATAGTTTACTGAATATTTTCAGTCAACTGTTGAGACCTATCACTAAAAAAAGGTTCCTTTCAAACTATTACTGATCACTGACAATGTACCCAGCCACTCAAGAGCGCTGATGGAAATTTACAAGGAGATTACCGTTCTCATGCCTGCTAACACGATATCATTCTGCAGTCCATGGATTAAGGAGTAATTTCTACTTTCAAATGTGTTTAAGAAATATATTTTATAAGGCTACCGCTCTGATAGATAGTGTTTCCTCTATTGGATCTGGAAAAGTAAACTGAAAACTTTCTGGAAAGCATTTACCATTCTAGATGCTATTAAGAATGCTCTTGATTCATAAGGGGAGGTCAAAATAGCAATATTAACAGGCATTTGGAGGAAGTTTATTCCAACCTTCATGGATGACTTTAAGGAATGCAAGACTTCAGTGGAGAAGGTCACTACAGATGTGATATGTGATAGAAACACCAAGAGAATTAGAATTAGAAGTGGAGCCTGAAGATGTGACTGAATTGCTACAATCTCATGATAAAACGTGAACAGGTAAGGAATTGCTTCCTATGGTTGAGCAAAGAAAGTGGAATCTACTGGTGAAGATGCTGTGAACATTGTTGAAATGACAACAGAGAATTTGGAATATGACATAAACTTAGTTGATAAAGCAGTGGCAGTGTTTCAGAAGATTGACTCCAATTTTGAAAGAAGTTCTACTGTGGGTAAAATGCTATCAAACAGCATTGCACGCTACAGGGAAATCTTTTGTGATTTCCCCGTAGTTAGAGGGAAATCAACTGTGTTGGCAAACACAGAGTCAACTGACATGGTAAATGTCATTATTGTTGGATTTTAGGAAGTTGCCACAGCCACCCCAACCTTCGGCGACACCACACTGAGCAGTCAGCAGCCATCAACATTGAGGCAAAACCCTCCACCAGCAGGAAGATTATGGCTCACTGAAGACTCACAAGATCATTAGGATATTTCAGCAATAAAATATTTTTTAATTAAGGTATATACATTTTTCAGACATAATGCTATTACACACTTAATAGACTATAGGATAGTATAACTTTTACATGCTTTGGAAAACAATTTGTGTGACTTGTTTTATTACAATATTTGCTTTATTGAGGAGGTCTAGAACCAACCTGCACTGTCTCTGAGGTGTGCCGGTAGTAATGTTAAAGCAGAGAAACTGGCAGATACGATATTTACCATGTGTTCAAAGTTAACACCACCAGTATTGAAACAAAGCAGTATCACATGCCTCTCAACCTGATGCACGGAGAAGAACACATCACTTCTCTGATATTCTTGTCAAAAATGTTTTTGCCAAACCTCAATCTAATCATGAGGAAACAGACAAACACAACTTGAGAAATATTCTACCAAATATTCTACCAAATATACAAACCGGCTTGTACTCTTTAAATGATTTCTAGCTTATGAAAGAAAAAAAAAAGAAAGCTGAAGAAATATGACAGAGCAAAGAGGACTTGGGAAACATGACAACTAAATGTGATCCTGGCCCCAGAGGCAATCAAAAAATTTGGATAAAGTCTGTAGATAATATTAAATTAATATTAATAGCCAGATATTTATTGTTATACTTACGGTTATAAAACAGAATGTCCCTATTTTAAATAACTACACAGTGAAGTATTTAGAATTGAAGGCACATCATATCTGTAACTTGATCCCAAATGTTCAGAAAATTTATATATATGCATACATTACATACATATATGTGTGTATATCAGCCGGGTGCAGTGGCTAACTCCTGTAATCCCAGCACTTTGGGAGGCCAAGGTAGGTGGATCATGAGGACAAGAGATCAAGACCGTACTGGCTAACACAGTGAAACCCCGTCTCTACTAAAAATACAAAAAATTAGCCAGGCATGGTGGCATACACCTGTAGTCTCAGCTACTCAGGAGGCTGAGATAAGAGAATTGCTTGAACCCAGGAGGTGGAGGTTGCAGTGAGCCAAGACTGTGCAACTGCACTCCAGCCTGGGTGACAGAGCGAGACTCCATCTCAAAAATAAAATAAAATAAAAATAAAAAATATGTGTGTATATGTGTGTGTAGATAGAATGATCAACTAATTGTAGTAAAATGTAAAGCATTAACATTTGGGGGATCTAGGAAGAGTATATAGAAATTCTTTGTAACATTTTCATGTTTGCACATTCTCTGTAAACAAAAAGTTTCTTAAAATTAAAGCAAACAAACAAAAAACACAAGGCCAGGCAGGGTGGCTCACGGCTGTAATCCCAGCACTTTGGGAGGCTGAGGTGGGCAGATCACTTGAGGTCAGGAGTTCAAGATCAACCTGGCCAACATGGTGAAACCCCATCTCTACTAAAAATACAAAACTTAGCCAGGGGTAGTGGTGGGTACCTGTAATCCCAGCTACTCAGGAGGCTGAGGCAAGAGAATCACTTGAACCCAGGAGTTGGAGGTTGCAGTGAGCTGAGATTGCACCATTGTACTCCAGCCTAGACAGTAAGAGTGAGACTCCGTCTCAAAAAAAAAAAAAAAAAAAAAAAGTCAGAACTCCCAATGTCCTTTGCTCTCCCCACCCCCAACACTGAGAAGCATTGCAATGCTCTGGGTGGTCTTCCCTGAAAGCAGCAAGTTCCCTTAGGGCATTAGTGTATCTCCAAACCCCAGAGCCTAACACAGGGCCTGGCATCTGCTAGGGGCTCGAAAAAGGGCCAATGAATAAATGAACTACAAGAAAGATCCAAAAGAGTGGGCAATCCCCAATTTGTGGCTCTCCCTCTGCAGAGCTGGTAGGAACCGTGGCTGTCTTGTGTAAATGTTAGCCGGGAATGATGAGCAGACGGCATTGGAATGGAGAGTAAGTTGTGGCTCTAGTCTAAGGGATTATTTTTGTTGAGGAGGCAGGGGAGTGCAGCATGTACTCTTGGGCTGGCCTGCAATGGCCCCGCTCTCCTGAAATAGGAGTGCATTCCAGGTACCACATGTCCTACCATACAAAGTCTCTGTCAGATCACGCATAAGCCATGTGATGCACTGAGATAAGAAGAAATAAACACCAAGATGCACCAAGATAACAAGAAGGATTGAAATAGTTCCACGTTCAGTAAATCTTTCATCATGAAAATAATGCCTCATAACATTCTGTTCTTACTTCCCAAACCACGAGTACTTGGTTTTTCAAATTCACATTGATTTTGTATATGAGGTCTGAAATTAGCATCGTTTTAATTATCAAAGTTCAAGAAAAACTTCAAAAAAGTTTAAGAGATGAAAAATAAGACTTTGCTTTGAAAATGGAGCTAATTCATGAATGTCCCAAACTGATTGCCTCTCCAGAAAAATTCAACCGTAGTGACAAAGGGAAAAAACATGTAATCCACAGACCATGAAAATGTATTAGGGGATGTTCCTATAACCCACAGAAAATAGGGGCCTAGAAGAGATGTGCTTTTTCTGGCCAAGTTACAATTTCACAATCACGAACACTGTGTCGTAATATTCCAGAAAAAAATTAAACAAGGCTAACTACAGCACATAACTGAGGGCAAGACGCAATATTGCAAACCTCATTTGCATATTAATTCCAGGGGCCTTTTTGCTTTATAAGGAATATAATTTTCGAGGATATCTAGATGAGATTGCTATGCACACTGGTAGGGACTTATCTACCAGTTTATTTGAAAATGAGTTCTTAGGGCAAATCCAAATCATAAGGCGGGGAAAAAAGCACCACCACCCTACAATCAGGAATACACAATCAGGAGCCCACTGAGGAACTAGGGCAAGTTGGTACAGCTGCGCCCTCTTCCCCTTTACTTGACACGTTAGAGAGGCCAATTAGTTCTCAGTCAAAACTCCATTCCTTCCCCCAACTTAATGAATAAGGGCAGATACTTAACTCGACCTCAGAGTCTTAGTTGTCGGCTATTAGTTTGTCCCTAACAACCCTCAGCTTCCCATCTCCCATTTCAATGCTGACCCACTTCTCTAAAACAGGAGAACCTATGCATAGCATACTTGCTTCTAGGCTCTCCCAGGGCTATGTTGTCTGTAAAACCCAAAAGGACTTGGCGCAAGAAAGACACCTGATGAGGCCCCAAGAGCAGGAGTCAGCTTCTCCCCTTTCTGTGCTCAGTATCCCACCTGTTCCAGACACAGTCTAGTCCTGAAGCTGCCAATGGTGTGGGTCTATCAATGCCAAGTAAAATCACGAGGATTCACGGTGATCCGTACCCCTGATCTAAGGATTCTGGAAGAAAACCCTCCTTTTGTGGAGCTCATACAACCTCAGATCTGTATGCAAATAGGCAGACAGCATGGTATTGTTACAGTTCAGTTGTTCTCAATCAAACTGTCTTCCCCAGTCCCTAGGCCCTCTCACTTCTCTGTGAGAACCCATAGCTATGGATACCCCTGGGCTGCTCTACAACTGGGATTTCAATAAAAATCAAGCCACTGCCTATTTTTGTCTAAAGAGGAAGCAAAGACACTAGACCAAAGGATAATATGACAGTTCTAGAAATCTGAGTCTTCATGCTGGTCATCAGCTCCTAGTGTGTTATCACCAATGAAAAATGCAGAAGCTTTGCTTCTTGGTCCCCACCCAACTGGTTCTTCTTACCTTTGGTTCCATTGAAATGAAACTGTGGGTCCCTCTGCTTGAGATAACTGACCTTTTAATCGTCCTGCTATGGTAGAAGTGGTAGTAGTCCTTCAGGGCCCCTATCTGCAAAGGAAGGGTAGGAAGGAAAGAACAAAAGAAAGACATTAATGCATGAAAAACATCTTCTGTTTTCCTGTTTTTCATTTAAAAAGGAACACAAAACAAAAAAGGTCCATAAATTATGCAGCTGCTGGCTGTGCTTAAATGTTACCTGAACCTTGGTGATCACTTTTCTAAAGAAGGACACGTGATATGAAATGGAGTGTCCTTGAGGCAGTGACTGCGGAACTAAAGATTATAATGGGGCAGCTTAGCCTCTCCAATCTCCTTTTAATGTTTAATTTATATGCAGCATTTTAAGTAATTCTATATCAATCTATACCCAAATGTGGGAAAGAGGGGGAAAAAATCAAATAGCTATCTAGTTATAAAAACACATTGCATTTTGTTTGCTCTGAGAAATGTACAATGAAGGACCTTGTTAGATTATTTATATAGCTAATTTGAAATATGTCTTAAGCAATTGATCATTCACAAAGATAACATGACTCGGTTTGTTTCTGACTTCTGTAGAGAGTATAAATATAGAGCTCTTATTCATTTATTGCAAAACTAAAGTCGTAATTTCTAAAACGAGACAAAAATCATACACCCTACCAATCAGCTAAGTTTCCTGTATAAAGACAGTTGGTTCTACTTTATCTTACCCATTTCTTTAACATTCCAGTCCTCCCATTTACATACACCTTTCCTCAGGTAGATCTGTTTAGGATGGCTTTGAAAATGAGCCCCTGTCCACTTTGGAAAAGCAAACGAGCAAAACCTCAACCAACCATATTTTCTCAGCAAATTATAAAATGTAGATCACAGAATGAAAACTGAACCATGCATTGAAGACAGAAGAGCTCGGTTCTAATTCCAGCTGACACTCACCAGAGCTAAACAACATACACTAAGTCTCTGTTTCCTGTTCTATAAAATTGGACTTTGGGCTACTTAATTTCCAAGACCACTGCAGCGCCCAGATTCCATTCTTTGACGCTCACATGCTTTGGGCAAATACTATAGTAGCTGTTTCTCCAGGACATCCATGGCTCTGCCCTAAAATAATGACTATCATCAGGAAGTTTTCCAATTGGGACAAGTCGAAAGTTCAACTTTCCTAATTTAAAAAAAAAAAAAAAAAAAAAAAAAGTCTTGGCCCAGGTTATTTTTTCCAGATAAAAGCTTCATTTCTCATTCCCTTCTTTTCATCACGTTCTCAACCATCATCCCACTCGATTTCTGTGCTATTTAGAAATCATGTCCTCACTAGGGCTTTACACAGTAATTAAATGTCTCATCATTAAGATTTGAAAGAAAGTCTAAGTCTCACATTTTTTATTCAAGTGGAAACTGCTCTGACCTACACAGATGAAATCCTGGACTCTGAAAACAAGTGGGGAATGCAGGCGGGGAAGCTTCTCATCTCAATGATCCTGGACTCTGAAGCAGCAGTGAACAATGAGGAAGAGGGCACAGATGCCAGCCCCAGCCTCCAGGAGTGTTTTAAGGAGGGATTTACAGGCCCATTTTAAGATTCCAGAGGACTAAGGGTAGAATTCAGGAGTGGTTGCATAATCCTTTACAAGAAAACCTTAAAATCCCAAGAAGCTTAGAGTTTTCATCGCCTGTAACTTTTGTCAAGAGCTCTCTTTGGTAAATACAGTAGTTCTCATGGAAAGAAACAGAATCTCCATAAGGAAGATCCTCACAGAACAACCCCCTCTCGTGTGTTTTCTACACAGTAGCTGGAACGAAGATTTCAAAATACAAATCCGGCTGTGTTCTATATCCTACCCCTGCCTAAAATCCTTTAGTAGATTCCCTTTGCCCTTAAAATAAATAGTATCAGTCAACAATTAATAATATTTCATAATATAGTTTTAAAAAGTAAATCAGAATAATAATATTGTGTTGAACTTTTATTCACACTGTGCCAGGAACTATTCCATACGCTTCATCTAACTCACTGAATAGACCATTCTCCTCCTCTGACCTAGGGGCCTGCGTGGTCTGGCCCAGCCTCTCTCTGGCCTCACCTCAAATCACACTTACCAGCGTTCTCTCTGTACTCTGGCTGATATTGTTTGGCTGCATCCCCACCCAAATCTCATCTTGAATTGTAGCTCCCATAAATTCCGCATGTTGTGGGAGGGACCCAGTGGGAGATAATTGAATCATGGGGTGGGTTCCCCCATACTGTTCTCATGGTAGTTAATAAGTCTCAAGAGATCAGCTGGCATGGTGGCTCATACCTATAATCCCAGCACTTTGGGAGACCAAAATAGGCAGATCACTTGAAGTCAGAAGTTCGAGACCAGCCTGCCCAACATGGTGAAACCCTGTTTCTGCTAAAAATACAAAAATTAGTTGGGCATGGTAGCACATGCCTGTAATTCCAGCTACTCAGGAGGCTGAGGCAGAAGAATCACTTGAACCTGGGAGGTGGAGGTTGCAGTGAGCCAAGATCGTGCCACTGCACTCCAGCCTGGGCAACAGAGCAAGACTCTGATGGGGAAAAAAAAAAAGAGAGAGCTGACGGTTTTATAAGGGGAAACCCCTTTCGCTTGGCCCTTATTCTCTTCTCTTGTCTGCTGCCATGTGAGACATGCCTTTCACCTTCCTCTATGATTGTGGGGCCTCCCCAGCCACATGGAACCGTAAGTCCATTAAACCTCTTTCCTTGGTAAATTGCCGAGTCTTGGGTATGTCTTTATTGGCACCATGAAAATGGACTAATACACTAGCTATGCTGGACTTCCTTCCATTCCTTGACTGTGTCACGCTCATTGCTCCCTCCACCTGTAGCACCTTCCCCTACTTCCACCCTCTCCGACTGAACTCCTCTTCCTCATACTTTGAGTCTCATCTCAAGTAGGAAGTCTTCTAAAACTCCCCAGGCGAGGTCAGCGTCATTAATTATACCATCTCATATTAATAGAATCAAAAGAATATGCACCTCTAGTTATACCTTAATTAGTACAATTACTGGTTTAATGCCTATGTCCCCATCAACCCATATGTTCTATTGAGACAGAAGCACATCTGTTTGCTCACCATTTTATTCCCAGCTCCTAGTGCATGGCTCAACATAGGATAGAATCTCACTAAGGACTGCTGAATGAATGGCCTAAAAATCAGAATCCAGCCGAGTGCGGTGGCTCACGCCTGTAATCCCAGCACTTTGGGAGGCTGAGGTGGGGGGGATTATGAGGTGAAGAGATCAAGATCATCCTAGCCAACATGGTGAAACCCCATCTCTACTAAAAATACAAAAATTAGCTGGGCATGGTGGCACACGCCTGTAGTCCCAGCTACTTGGGAGGCTGAGGCAGGAGAAGTGCTTGAACCAGGGAGGCAGAGGTTGCAGTGAGCCGAGATCATGTCACTGCACTCCAGCCTGGCGACAGAGCAAGACTCTGTCTCAAAAATAAATAAATAAAATAAATATATAAATAAATATCAGAATACTTAAATTACTAAAACCACATACAGTAGAGCTACATGCAGCTCAAAATCTCTAGTATGAGTATCAAAGAATTATCACATCAAGGCTGATTTCAGCAAAAATGGTTTAGTTCTACCTTAACTGTAGTACCAACTCTTTCAAGGTTCTGAAAGTTGTGGGTTGAGACATCTCTACCCTTTATTTTGTTTCATTTTATTTGCAAGACAACAGTTAAAGAGTAAAGTGCCTTAGTTCAATTATTCTGCCCCATCTAAGCAAAATAATCTATCACCTTCTAGGAATATATATATATATAAGCATGTTTATGTCTCTCATCTATTAATATGCATGTTCCTTATTGACGAGAATTATCTTTTGTATTCTTTCAGCACCAAGCATACTATTGGGCATTTAATAAATATTAAGAAGCAAAATGTCACAACATGTTGGAAGTTATTCAATAGAAAGGCAGTGTATGAAAAATGAGCAGTGATATTATCTATAAGCAGGCATTCCATCTAGCTTCTCCAGGGTAATGTAAAACAAAAGCTGATGGTGGTTACGTTATTCAATAGCAGCAAGGACTAAAACAAGAAGCAATATATAACTAACATGGGGATATCTTATAAATAAATCAGAAACAACAGGAGTATATGAAGTATAAAATCAATAGCAAATAGTGCAAAGCCCAACCTTTTCCTTAACGCTAGCTACATAAAGGAAAGAGAGAATAATTTCTTCACTCTTAGCCCTCTAAAGCTCCTCTTCTATACAGTCACACACTAACACAACTCGATACACAACTCTAAGTCAATGAATTTCATCTCTTGTTCCTGATTCTGTCAAGTTTTTGTGCTTTTTCTTCCTGAGTGGTAGCCCGTCACCCTTGCACCGAGAATTCTCCTATCTCTATCCTTTCTAGAACCAAAGTGTGTTCTTAGGAAAGGCGTTGTAAAGTATTTTATACTAATAAATGGCCGGTACACTCAACGTTTCAGTTCTTTCAGGGACAACTGCATTTGATGAGAAAATTAAAACTTGAGCCAAATAAATACGTTCACAGAGCCTGTTATTTTGAAAAAATAACCATTGAAGTTTTGGGTTTACTTTTTTTTCTAGCAGCAGGAGGGCACCTTCCCAATGTTCCTACATTTTCGTATCACAAGCAAGCTGATGACTTTTGAACAGAGAGCTGAGACCCATGCGTTACACTGGCTTTGCCCCTGAGGAGCTGTGTGGCCTTTTAGAAATCATTCACCACTGGCGGCTTCACCTGAGCATGCAGCGAAACCCCTCACCAGTCTAATGACACTGAGTTTGCAGCTTCCTTGTACATAGTTCTGAAAGGTGACCAACTGACCCCCACAGAGAGTTTACCCAAGACTAAGGAATTTCCTGGGACACAGGATTTTTCAGTGCTGAAATAGGGACAGTTGGTCACCTAGTTATGAAGCACTGGGGTCACCAGCACTGTGGCCCCCTTGAAGAACCTGTCACTTCTCTCGGGCTGCTTCTCTGCTTGGTTTTCCCTCCTGCCTTCCTCAATTTATAGATTCCTCCAAATTCTGTACCT